CCCAAAGGGTTCTGTAACACAACATATGATATTTTTTTTCTAACCTTGTTAAGCGTACAAACAAAGCTCTCAGAACTATTTCAAAGAGGCCTATTGGGCATCCGTTGACTTCCTCATCCGAAACAATGGAGTGACAGAAATCCATTAGATCGTATCATAGTTTCCTTCAGTAGATGTCCTAGGTTAGGGTGTGCCTCAGGCACGTCCTTTAACTTTACGCCATGGTCGCAGTCAATAATTGAGCCTGATATTTATCACTGCATTGTCCTGAAATGTCAGGGAGGGTATCGATGCAATTGGAGATCTGTGTTGTTGGGATAAAACATATTGCTACACTGCCAGGAGAGATTTAAGAAAAAACACTCTCAGATCCCTAACTGCTTCTTATGTGGCTCTTTGTTCATGTGTCAGATTGTTGTGTCGTCCTCATCATGATTTAAATGTCAACATGGCCTGTGTTTCATTGATGATTTATAACTTTCCTGGTGTCAGGGATAATATCTTCACTAATGCTCCATCGGGAATCAGTGTGATACGTCCTTATGCCTGTGTAAAGGTTGCTATGATGTTGGGTTCAAGAGATAGAAGAAAATATTGTGACAAGGAATAATTCACAGTTGTTGTCACTTGTATGGCCCAAAGTGACTATTTACCACTGTCATCACAAGGTAGTCACCCAAGGAAGACAACTCACCCACCACCCAAGAAAGACAACTCAACTGTGTGACTATCCAAGGGAGGTAACTCACAGTTGCCATCAACTGTGTGACCACGCAAGGAGGCAACTCACAGCTGTCATCAGTGAGCAGCCACCTAATAAGGGAGACAACTTACAGCTGTCATCACTGAGCAGCCACCTAATAAGGGAGGCAACTCACAGCTGTCATCAGTGAGCAGCCACCTAATAAGGGAGGCAACTCACAGCTGTCATCACTGAGCAGCCACCTAATAAGGGAGGCAACTCACAGCTGTCATCACTGAGCAGCCACATAATAAGGGAGGCAACTCACAACTGTCATCACTGAGCAGCCACCTAGTAAGGGAGGCAACTCACAGCTGTCATCACTGAGCAGCCACCTAATAAGGGAGGCAACTCACAACTGTCACCACTGAGCAGCCACCTAATAAGGGAGGCAACTCTCAGCTGTCATCACTGAGCTGCCACCTAATAAGGGAGGCAACTCACAGCTGTCATCACTGAGCAGCCACCTAATAAGGGAGGCAACTCACAGCTGTCATCACTGAGCAGCCACCTAATAAGGGAGGCAACTTACAACTGTCATCACTGAGCAGCCACCTAATAAGGGAGGCAACTCACAGCTGTCATCACTGAGCAGCCACCTAATAAGGGAGGCAACTTACAACTGTCATCACTGAGCAGCCACCCATGGGAGGCCCAAACACCTAACAAATTCAGTTGTGTGATGTAGGATGTCATCACACAGTCTCATCAGTTGTTGGGAGCTAATGCTTGTGACATACTACATTCAACTTCCAAGGGGCGGTGGGGTTAAGACCCGGGTTTGATTACCCACATGGGTACAATGTATGAGGCCCGTTTCTGGTGTCCCCTCCATGATATTGCTGGAATATTGCTATCAGCGGCGTAAAACCCCACTCACTCACTCAACTTCCAATCCTAAAACTATGTCTTTCTTTCTGTTCACCATATATTGAACTCTGTTTCATATTATCACTGACATTTTCCCTTATGGACCATTTGCCACACTGATATTTTCCCACAATGACGATTCCCCCATGAGATAATTCTTTATTTGGACAATACCCCGCACTGACATTTCCACACACGGACATCTAACCAAGTCTGATCTTCTTTAACATAGAAAGCATTAACTGGTTGAGTGACTTCCTTCTATCTACATAGATCTGGCATTTCACTCTGTCTTTGTTTGGCTTCTTTGTTCATATTGTTCCAATAGAAAAGTTAAGTGAAGATGTTAGGGATGTTGAAAGAAAGACATGTTTCTTAACCATTAACAAATTCCAATTGCTTCTTACAAGAAACTGTTACATTTACAATCCTAAAGCATCACAACCCTACTCAACACTGGACAACTGTCTCGCATAGTGACACCCAGTGATTGATACAATCATGAATTATTTCCAATATCCTCTTGTAACTCCTGAAATCCTGAAAATGATTCGGATGTGGGGAAATGGACAACTTTAAGTTCATGTGTAGAAATGTCTTATCATAGCCCTCTACTCCGCACTGATAGACACATTTATTGTCAAATGTTGACAAACTGCAAGCAGAATTGTTGCCAATTGTTGACAAATTGCAAGTTACTGAGTAGTGCTTTAACAACCTTGTCAAACTCTGGATGTTCATGTTTAATAAGAGTCTTATGTGACTCAATATAAAGATGTTACAAAAGGGATCATTTTCTACCAGATTGTCAAATGTAAAGTGTGACTCTTGAATAACTTGCTGGGACTGGTATTTTCCTGAACATGGTCCAACTTTAAATGCAGCCAAAGACCTCTGCCATTTGTCTGAATCCTGTGTCTTGCATATTATCTTTGGGGCAAGCTTTGGTTATCTCTGCCCAGATATTCAAAAGAGTTAAATTTGCAGAAAATAATGCTAGTGGATAGTTCCCTAGGTTCGAACATTTTTATCCCCCCGGAACGCGTTTTGCGGGGGGTATTAAAATGGACTCCGTCCGTGCGTGCGTCCGTGCGTCCGTCCGTCCGTGCACATTTGTGGAGCAGAACTCTAAAACCGTTCAATATTTCTTCACCAAACTTGGCACATACATGGATCTGGTGGTGTACTGGTGCCTTTTGGTAGTTTTGGAAATCTGAATTAAATATTTTTGGTGTTTCCATGGCAACAAGTTCGACTTTGACTGAAATTAGTGGTAGAGCTCTTTTCCGGAGCAGAACTCTAAAACTGTTCAATATGTCTTCACCAAACTTGGCACATAGATAGATCTGGTGGTGTACTGGTGCCTTTTGGTAGTTTTGGAATTCTGAATAAAACATTTTTGGCGTTTCCATGCCAACAAGTTTGACTTAGACTGAAATTGGTGGTTGTGCTCTTTTCCGGAGCAGAACTCTAAAACTGTTCAATGTTTCTTCACCAAACTTGGCACATAGATTGGTCTGGTGGTGTACTGGTGCCTTTTGGTAGTTTTGGAATTCTGAATAAAACATTTTTGGCGTTTCCATGCCAACAAGTTTGACTTAGACTGAAATTGGTGGTTGTGCTCTTTTCCGGAACAGAACTCTAAAACTGTTAAATGTTTCTTCACCAAACTTGGCACATAGATAGATCTGGTGGTGTACTTGTGCCTTTTGGTAGTTTTGGAATTCTGAATAAAACATTTTTGGCGTTTCCATGCCAACAAGTTTGACTTAGACTGAAATTGGTGGTTGTGCTCTTTTCCGGAGCAGAACTCTAAAACTGTTCAATGTTTCTTCACCAAACTTGGCACATAGATTGGTCTGGTGGTGTACTGGTGCCTTTTGGTAGTTTTGGAATTCTGAATAAAATATTTTTGGCGTTTCCATGCCAACAAGTTTGACTTAGCCTGAAATTGGTGGTTGTGCTCTTTTCCGGAGCAGAACTCTAAAACCGTTCAATGTTTCTTCACCAAACTTGGCACATAGATTGGTCTGGTGGTGTACTGGTGCCTTTTGGTAGTTTTGGAATTCTGAATAAAATATTTTTGGCGTTTCCATGCCAACAAGTTCGACTTAGCCTGAAATTGGTCATAGTGCTCCTTTCTGGAGCAGAACTTTAAAAACCTTTCAATACTCTCCTTCCACTTTTCTATATACACACCTAAATATTTGACATAATCATAACTTGTAGACATAATCATGAAGCGTATTTTGCCATTGCGGGGGATATTGATGACTTTGTCTTCTTGTTTGCATAGGCATTGAGTGAAATATTGCAGATTCCATTGTGTGATGATGACTTCTTTCACTCTCAAGCTGAAATGATACTGAATTAAAGTGAACTTACAGTTGAAGTTTGACAAGATTGTACTGACTGTATTGCATTTTCTTGTATGTATTCATATACCACAATATATTTCACATTTTCTTTCATAAGTAATGTGTTATGAATCTGAGTAAACCAAATAACTTGACATGTTTTCTTACTTCTGTACTGAAAGTTAACATACATCTTACTTTGCGCGTATATTTTTGACAACTTCATTACTTGTGTACCGAAAGTTAATATTCAGTTTATTTCCCCCATAGATTTTTTGTAGTCCGCCATTGTTTTTATTTTATGTTGCTTTGGTCGCAAATCTGGCATAATACACATATTATATACAGGATGCTGGATGCAGATAGTTCCATTTTTTTAAATCCTGTGATTTTTTAAACCACAGGAATCAGTTGATAATTCCTGCATTTTATCAATTTAATTTGACTTGTAACTTATGTAAATTTAGCAGGATGAAACTGGTTGATTCATAAGTATGCAAAAAATGTTTCATACCATGGAATACCAGAAAATGGAAATTTTGTCTGACCCTTACTCATCATGAACCCCGTGAAACTCTAGGTTGAAATTGGTCTTCAGTAATCCATGCTTGTCGTAGGAGGCGACTAACGGGATCGGATGGTCAGACTCTCTGACTTGGTTGGCACATGTCATTGTATCTCCATTGTGAAGATCAATGCACATGCTGTTGATCACTGGATTGTTTGGTCCAGACGTCATTATTTACAGACCGCCACCATAGAGCTGGAATATTGCTGAGTGTGGCGTTAAACAGCAAACCAACCAACCAACCTTCATCATGGTCAACTGGGGTTTGTTGTGTTATGGAGTTGGCAAAGAGTTATTGCTTCGTTTAACCTGACATGCGATGTTGTGAAGCTTGAGTCAGTGTAAAGTAATATGTTGTTTTCTGGAGGAAGTCTTGCAGGGACAACATCTGTTTTGGGGAATTAGTAAAACTTGTTTTGACTCTGAATTATACTAAACATTGTGTCTATTTTTGTCTTTTCAGATATTTCTGATGATGAAAATTGGAATCCATGGGGTGAAGAGTTTGAAATTGAAAACAATTTTATTCAGCACCATGAACCCCCTAAAATTTTGTGGGAGATGGAACATTCTCTTGGCCGGAGTCCTTTAGACAGCAAAGACAACAGTACAGAAGAGTTCATTGTTGAAGTATGGGGTAAAGCAGCAATTGGTGAGAACTTACAATTTTTACTTGTTAGAGTGGATTATTCATGTGAGGTTATCAACCATAAGCTTTTACAGTTTTGACATCTTCTGGGAAGCATTAAGGCCATAATGCTGTGCTTTTAGAACTTTGACCAACCAATTAACTTGAAGATGTTTGGCTTTGAAGCCAATCAGATGTCATCTTTTGAAAACAGTTCACCTTGTTTCCTTTACCACTGACAGGGAAATTTCAAACATTTTTAACTGAAAACCCCAGTTTGCCGTCTGTAGTACCTTTATGTATCAATGCCCTGAGTGTATAGCCCACAAAACATGTATGATATCCATGATATAACGGCACAGCTTTATTTTTTTACATTTGGAACCTCCTGATTATGTTGGATTTTTAGATATTCTTATTTGAATGCTTTACTCTCTAAACTGAAAATTGTAAAACCTTGATGCTGATGCTGGAAAGTTCACTGACCCCAAAAGGAATTGCCACATGCAGAGGTATATTATCAATATAAAACATCTGAATTGTATGCCATCAGCCCTTTGAACAGGTAACTGCGAATAGCTGCAATTTTGCTGATGCTACTATCATGGGATAATAATTCATACAAAATTCATTATTCATTATTACCACTACAAGCAATATATTAGGATTCAGATATTAGGAAAATATAAATATAGAATATTAGTAATAGCTTAGAGAAAGACTCCAGTCAAAAGTTGTAAAACTCATCTCACAGACATACTATTGAAAAAGGTATAAATTACGGCTACACAATTTCACAGATATCCAAGATAGAATCCTAGCCTAAGGTATCAAGGACTCAAGCTGTTAGCAACCCTTTCAGTAATTCAGAGTTATGACCAGACAATTAAATGAACTGCTTTCATAAAATAAACATGTCATCATCTATATTACAAAACTTTAAGCAAACACCAATTAAGGGTCATAAAGACATGGCCCAGAGTAAACACATCAGATTAGGGTCGTTGAGATCTAGTCCAGGGTAGGCATCCAAGCATCCAGTAAAAGTGCCATCGAGATTAGTGCCAGTTAAACTAGGATTAACAGGATTAAGAATAATTGCCCTGTCTGGTCATTGAAGGACACACCCCATTTTGTATATTCTGTATTTGATAGGCTAATGTAGGTTACTCCCGTTTTTGTATCAGTGAACCAATCGTAATCTCTTTATTGTTTTAATTATAGATAAAAAGTCCCTAACTGCATTTGTCCATGAGTAGGGTTTAGACTCCCAACACAGGTCAGCTCTAGCCCTCAGCCCAGAGGGTTGTACCGACTCTCTGTGGCCACCCCATGTTACTCCGTTCTTGTAAATAAAAGTGTGATTAGCTTCTTGTGACTTCGGACTCTTTTGCTGAGCTAATTCCCCCAAGCAGACCAGCACGTCAGTTAGATAAGGGGTTTCACCGGAACCATCACTTGGACCCAAGACCCTTATCATAATACTACTTAAAGCAACATTTACCAAGTCGCTCCTTTATACAGGTGAGCTACGCAGCTTAGCAGCACACTTTTTCTTTCCAGCCCTGAATAAATGATGTACATATTTCTGATACATGGGATCCACAAATTATATACCACATATACAAGGAGATGATATGTATGCAAGGCTTCTTGTGCAAGTTGAATGAATCCTACAGATTATATCCACACTAAGCACAGCCTTGAGTTGTGTATGCAGACAAGATTATAGGCTTTTGAAGGCAACTTTGTCTGTTTCTGTTCCTAGAATATCATGACAGATGAAAAACTGAGTTTCATCGTGATATACACACACTTTATTCTTTGTTTGATGTTGGATTGCCCAATATCCTCGTTCAAACATTTGTTTGCTCAGTGGATATAAAATTATCCAGCAATGTTTTGTCAATTGATATATTCTACATTTATGCATCAAAGAAATGATAAAATGCATGGGGATATGTGAAAACTGTCTCCATTGATATCTACACAGTATTCTTTGTTCATGGTTTTACAAAATTGGTAAGATTGTGAAATATCAAGGTTCTCATCGGGAATGATTTAGATGATGATGGTGTGATTTTGTGATGGAATATTGCATTGACCTCGGTGTCACAAGACACATGAGTGTCAGAGATGATGAAGAAGCTCACAGGGTCCAGTCATGTCAGAGTTATGCAGAGTTGCCTCCCTTGTGGTTATGAATTCACGTTTTATCATGGTTTCTGATCATGTCATCAGTAGCGTACCCCTGCTTATCAGATTTTCAGTAATCCATCCATGTAGTTTTCATCGCTGTTTTGTCTTTTTTGAAGCAGTGTAATCTGTTTTGATGAATAACCCATACCAAAAGACGTTAAAATATGGTACTTGTTGGTTCCTGCCTGGCACTCGGCATTAATGGGTACAACAAGGACTGGTCGGCTCGGAGTCAGTATAAGAGCCAGTATAATGTGTCTGAGTAGGGTATTCATGCTTCACTGCGGCATGGTATCTCAGTGGGCTAGCACTATAAAACCAGCTTCAGTCTGGGCTAGTACAAGCAGCCGCACATACACATACACACGCATGCACGTCTTCATATGAGCGAAATATTCTCAAGCACAACGTTAAACCCAATTTCACCTCACTTCACCTAACTGGTAGGACAACTGTGTAAGATAGTTGTCTACCCTTTGCTATGACTATAAGATGTTGGGGTTGGTTGTTGTTTAACGCTGCACTTAGCAGTATTCCAACTATTTGGTTGCGGTCTGTAAATAATTGAGTCTGGACCAGACAATCCAGTGATCAACATCATGAGCATCGATCTACGCAATTGTGATATGGTGACATGTGTCAACCAAGTCAGTGAACCTGACGACCCAATCCCGTCAGTCGCCTCCTACAACAAGCATGGGTTGCTGAAGACCAATTCTAACCCTGAGCTTCGCGAGGTCGCTATGACTGTAAGTCACTGCCACCTCACCCTCTCCACTGCACGTGCTATTAACTATGTAAGATGGCTGCCAACCCTGAAAATGATGATGGTCATGGCGACCCTATCTCTCCCATCTCAGTTACCTGTGGTCCAGGATATAACCGAGAGAAAATCATTACTTAGATGGATATCACCATGCATGCCATATTCCATCTGATGTAATCAGTTTGAAAGATGACAGGCTATTTTTGATGCTCTTTCAAGAAGAACAACATTCAGATCAACTAGTTATTGGATTAAGTTTCTCTCCATAATTTCAAACATCCAAGAATTTTTGTATATTTGCCATTTGATACCTGTTCTTTTAATTACTTCTGTGGTTACTGAGTTACACAGTGCACCAATTACAGTAATTACAGTGTTTCACTAATTGACCAAACAATACATGATTTTCCAATTTCATGCATGATTCAGATTATTTTGAACAAAGCTTCCGTTTGATCAGAAGAAATATGTTTTCAAATCATTTTGTCTTTTTCTAATTGATCAGCAGGTAGAATTAATTTACTGATCAAATAAAGTCATTATTGATTTGACTTCTTTGATTGATATCAAATCCTGAGCATCAAGTTCCGACAGATGTTCGAAGTCAGGGCTGTATTTTCAAAAGTGCAGCTTCAGTAATTGAAAGTTTTCCAGGTTAGATTTATCATTCCATTTTAAAGATCAAATTCATTATATCTCTCTGTGTGGAACAAGTAGGTCACTAGCAACAGATTGTTCTGGGAGTAATTGAGAAAAGACCTTTATAATCCTAAAAGGCTTCAAACAAAATGAAAATATTGAACAAAAGGTTATTTATCTGTCTGTCGAGTCAGCAGGTCTGGAGAAAAAGAACTAGTTCAGAATATCATTCGCTTTGGTTCATGGAGGATGTATGTTTGGGGTTTAATTAAATCTATTGGCATCCTTAACTGGTGCATGGTTCATCTTGGGGCGGAGTGTACAGAAGGCCTGAAGCCAGTCGGACATACCGTAGGTCATTTTTAAGGTGGCTTTGTACGAAATGCATTATTCCAGCTTACGCAGAAATTCCTTGGGGTTTTCGCTGCCTGACTGGCTCAATGGAACAACGGGGCACAGAACTCAAAGAAAGAAACAAATCTATAGGAGAAAATGTCATGGGTTTTTTATTCATTTTTCATATGAAGGGTGATGTCAGATAGGAAACGTGTTGAATGGTGGATATAAAGTATACTTAACTAGATGATTGGTATCATGAATTCAGAAATATTTTGCCGATATTACTTATTCTGTTCTACTTGGTAAAGTCTTGATTTAAATAAAATGTATCAGATGACAATCACTGTCTCGAAACCCCCTCGAAACCCTGCATGAATTTATTTGAGACCGGTTGGGAGCTTCATTCCTCACTTGCCAAGAAATTGTTTGGTGGTTTAGTGGATAGAGCATTTGCCTGGAGAGACCAGAAGGCCTGGGGTTCGATCCCCAGCTGCAAGTCATATCAATTAATGTTGGCAATCAAGACTCTGTGTCTGAGCAGAGTTTCCATGTTAAAATTGTGGAAGAGTATTTCAGTGGGCTACTCACAACTATAAAATGCCCATTAGTCTGGACTAGCACACACACAAACACGCGCGCGCGCGCGCACACACACACACACACAGAAACACACACACACAGAAACACAGAAACACAAGCATGCATGTTTACATACACACATAATACACAAATGCATGCTCATGCAACACACACACAGAGACAGACAGACAGACAGACAGATGCACAGACAAATGGGCAATAACATGCACATGACTTTGTCAGTCATCAGTATGCCTGAAATGTTTGAGTCTATCAGGCCAGACATGGCTTTTGACACTATTTCAGTATATTTTACAGACAGTGATTACCTGAGCTTATTAGTCTGAAAAGACTTTTACAAGACTCAGGCTTCAGACTTGTGACTGAATTTTAAGACTGCTATATTAGCGAAATAAACTTTGACCTAATTTCACCCTGACTCACCCTGACTTTATAAAAATAGTCCCACCAGTTCTTCAATTCAGACTCTCTTATCCTTGTT